GTGAACCACTATTTGAAGGATCTGCTTCCCTACCGAAGAAACATGCGATTAAACTGGTCTATCAAACATTGACCTTCGTGACACGGAGTCCCAAAGAAAAATGAGTAACCTGACGAAGAAAGCAGTCTAATTTTATTCAGTTGCGATCGGGAGTACGCGCAAGCTGGGTAGCTTCTTCACGGATCCCAAAGACATCGGAGAGAAACATTATCCTCGGCACAGGATACTTGGTACAAGAAGAAATCGCCGATGGTAAGTGATATGCGAGGCAACAAGAGTTTCCTGGGCCGCTCGTATGCGTAAGACTTCTCTCTCTCCTCGGAACGTTATGCAGGTTTACGGGTGTAGACGGGCCGATATGTGTCATACACGGGCGTACGCGTGTGTCGACATTCGTGTCGACCGGGAATATCGAGACGACGCAATATCGACTTACGTTACACGACCAAACGAGCATCTATCTCGGTGGGAAACGAAGCCCCACGGCTTCGTCTGTTCGACGTTGTTCTTAACGTTCGATCTCTTTCGGACGGCGACACCCCTTTCCACGATGCTCGTTCAAGAAAGGATTCGCGATTCTGCCGGGCCATGTTGCCTTCCACTTGGAAGTCTCTATACCCAAGTATCCTGGAGCACCAGATTACCTGGAACACCGACAGAATTCCAAAACTTTTGGTAGACTCCACCAGAATGGATAAGGTCCAAGAGAAAACGTCTTTGCTTGCAATAGTACTTGGAGTCAAGATTGGAACGCTTAAGCACCCTTCCTCGGTGATATGGAAAGCGTCGAGAGTTCGACGGTTCGAACATTCCAAGACAGCCGTTCCCGCGACTTTTTGGGGGGATTAGAAAACGGAGGAATCTCGAGCGATGGCCAAGACACGAAGATAAGGTCGATCGAATCACCAGCTAGCGGTAGCACGAAGCTGGGTGTGGGGCAGAGTTAGGTGGGAGAGAAACCGAGAAACGACGAAATGACGGCGGTCGATGGACGGTTCGTTAAGTAGATGGCTGGTCGGGGGACTAAGCACCAAAACCACCTCACTGTGGTTTCACACCCGCAAAGCAACACAGAGAGAGGAAGACAGAGACACGAAGAGAAGGAAGTAGTAAACAACTCGGAGTTCCTTTGGTCAGGACTCGTGCGTTCCTTCGGTCAGGATCGACGCGGCGAGGTTACACCTCTGCGATTCTTGAAAGAGTTTCCTGAGAGTCGGTTGAACAGTGACCAGCGCCGTGACGACACCGAGGCGATCAATGAATGCTGAGTCAACGATGGGAAAGCTGAGAGAATGAATCGTTGATCTACTATCCACTTCACTCTTGTTCCGCGTCATACCGGGCAATTTACCGGTGACCTTTCTATAATTATCATCGTGATGCTTAACACTCGTTCCCAGCGTCGAGAATGATAAACTTATCTCATGCAAGGTTTCTTTTCGTCTGTTTCATTACAATTTTCAACAATTCCAAAACAGTTATCACCTTTCAACGATGAAAAAAACTTGGTAATAAAAGTTGTGGTGGAAACAAATGATGATCTTGGTGAAAAACTTATCAATTCTGGACGCTTTTCTTCGATGAAGTCCATATTCATTTTCCATATTAAAATCATAACGAAATTGCGTACGCTTTTCTTCTAAAACAAGAACCATAACCTATCAGAATATACAGTGTACGTTCCATTTAAAATGATGTTTGGAATAAACGCAATTACTTTTAAGCCAACCGAATAGACAGGACCAGCGTCCAAGTTGTTCGTGAGGAGGAACATTCAGCCGATGAAAGGAGTCAAAGAGGAGACGATCCTCGGCCAAGGGTTTCCTGCCGATTCTTCTCCGTAGAATCGATCTCCCTTCCTCCTATAGTTCATAGAACCGGGTTCTTCCTCGTCTTTCCTGAAGAGGCTCGAAACGGACTATTATCCAACAGATGGTCGCCCGAGCGCCGACCCGCAGTGGCGTGCCTTTGTTTTGTTACCGTTGTTCCGGTAATTGCGGCAAATACACGGCCATTTTCGGTAATCACCCGCACGCCCCCATCCCCGAGGCGGTCCCCTTTGAGAATTCCGAAACGACCTCGACCTTCCTCGGCCCCGGTAGGCGCAACGACAGTTTTGCCAGGGGACCCACCACCAGCGACCTCGACCTCATCTCGAAGATCGACTGTCTTCGCCTTGGGCAAACGGATCGTTGACAGGGAAGCTTGATTCCAAATTACGAGTTGCCTCTAAGAAGTAATCAGACCGATTTCTATTCTCTGGCTATACTGTATGCTTGCTGCTGAAACGTATAGCCCTACTCTGTCTCCGGTATAAGTTTCAGTTCGATTGAAATAACAGGTGCGATTCGATAGCAGGGTTATGCAACTAAATTTTTTATCAAAGTTAAGGGGGACTTCTGATAAAATAGATGAACAAATAAGCATTCTTTTTTTAAAGAGACAATATAAAATCAATAAGTGAGATATATTTTATGTACTTACAAGAAACACAGACTGTCCGATTCCGATTTTAATATGCTTTTGTAGAAAGACCCTTTTCGATGCATGTAAAATATTAAACGTAAATTCTCGATCATTTTTAAGGTATGACTAATTAAGGATACACAAGAAGGTGTGTGATACAAACTTCGTGCTACAAGATTGCGGTGGTATATTTTATTGTCTTAAAAAATATGATTAAAATCAGGTGCAGTCGATGTAATTCTCTTGCGGATGGACGTGTGTATTGTCCATCCAAGTCCCGCGCTGGCATCTGAAATAATTCGATACGAAAGACACTAAACTGCTCGAAATGCAGATCTAAAGGCCTGCCTATAGGTTTACGAGGGAATTAGCAACCGTTAATTACAAAACCGCCGTCTGTTTCTTGCGCGTTGCAGCCCCTCGTAAGCGTCGGAATTACGAAGCGTGCAGCCGAGTCAATGGCGAAACCCGAGATTTATCGGCTATTAAAATCGACGGTTTTCTAATCAATTCTCTCTGCGACTTCCCCGCCTTGACCCGGCTGCAGCGAACCTGTTGGTTTCCATTAACTCCGTGAAATATAGGTTTCTCGCTTCGAACGGATAAAAAGGAGCTCGCGAGCAGATAATCGACGCGAAACGCTTTTATCCTGGTGGACTTTCGCGATTCTGCGCGATTTTCTCCAAACCAGGGAAAGTCCCAGAACGTAAAAATATTTCGTTTTATTTCATTCCTTCGAAGAAATATTTTTCTTGATCAGGTCGACTAGAGTCCATTCGAGAAAAGCATTCAGACAACCCTTTTTGTTTAGTTTTGTTTATTTAACGGCGAATAATTCCTAAAGAATTTTCTGATGTTCGAAACAGTAAAAATATGTTGCCTAGTATATGCAGAGCACTGTGTACAAAGGGTTAACTCACGGAAGATAGCAGCGATTAATCTCATTAATCAATACAATTGATTTTCGTGGGAATATTAAAGGAAAAAATACAAATTTTCATCGTTCGTTCAAATCTGTCGCTACGTCTTTCGTGGGTTTCGAGCGAGCGAGTAAAGTTAAGGCGAGAAAATTTGTTTTCTGCCAAATCTTTGGCGGAGACGAGTCGTAAAGTTTGAAAATTGCAAGGCTTCTCTGAGACTGGCGGTGTTCTTGGAACCGATTGGACGATGAACGCGCGTTTTGTCATCGAGCGTCCGCCGAGAATCACCAATGCCTGGACTTTCCATCAGCTCCTCTCGTTAAAGGAATCTAGACATCACGTATGCGGCTCTGTGATCATGAGACGGACGGTTCCTTGAACTTTGCAGTCAAGTTCGCGTCGAATCATCGATACGTTACGTTATCGCGAATCCATAATATCTCTTTGTTATCATCTCGAATGGGAAACGAAGCATTATATGATCATTCGTCGTCGATAAATGATAAAACAGTTCTGACGTTAAGAATTTATTGAACCAGTATATGAAGACAGTTCCTACTCTAGTAGACTTATTGAGAACCTGAAAGATGTTGGGTGCTTCACGTTAATGGATTGATTGGTTCGTCTCAACTTTCTTAATTACACTCCAATAGATATATCGAACGGTATAAATTGCATCAGGACGATAAGTGAATGGAATAAAATAATTTAAGAATTAAAAAAAAAAACCTAGGGGAATAGACGTTGTTTTATAATGACACGAAGGCCGTCGGGGACGGGAAGCAAACTCTAGTGTTACAGATGCCGAATGAAAGCTGAAACGGCTCATCGAGGGGAATAAAGAAAAAGACACGAGGTATTGTGTGTCGGTGCGCGGACTTTTTCGTGAAACATTATTCCCGATCTCGCAGAGCCGTGAATATGCATTTCATAATCGGTTCTGATTCGTTGTCGATGAACGATCGAGAGCCAGCAAACGCGGCGGCAAAAAAGTTTCGCCGAATCATCGATGACTCAATGCGTGAGTGGCAACGTTTTCCTCTCTGTTTCCGTAACTTTTACCGAGCCGCTTGTCTCGCTGTTCCCGCCGAGGTATTTGGACATTCATTGGGCGTACGACGGAAGTCGCGACGGGCCGCGATAAATATTTCACGAGATGTTAATTAATATCGGGTAATTGCCGCGAGTCGAGTTGTCGAAAGCATTGGCGCGATCCTGTCGACGATAATCCGTCAGATTTCTTTTTGTTCGGTCCTTTGAAAAATTGGTGGAAAGGAGTTTCGAAACAAGGTAAAGAATTCTTTGCATTATAATGTATCCACTTGTTATCTGTACAAAAAAAATTTTGATTTTAAACCATTGTGAACTAAATACGTAACCTAAAATTTATGTCCCTCGAAGTCTCAACTCGAGAATTAATTTGTCTAGTTCCATAATGGAAAATCCTGTTACCCATATATGGATGATATGGCTGTCGAAGTGTCAAGGTGTTAAAATAAAAATCTCATCCGAGGAGTTGCAGAAACCAGAAGTTGCTATTTTGTTAATTCACCGCGTTGTGCAAAAGGTTACGTGGGACAGTTAATTAACGAAAAATGGTACGTTTTGTTGCAGATACGGGCGCAGGCACCACAGAATGGGCCTATTCGTCAGCGGCGCCATCTTACCCAGCGCCTCCGGTGAGCAGCGGTGGTTCCTTTTCGCCGATACCTGGCGGCGCGTTTTCCTATCCAGGAGAATCCCTCTCTCACCACCCGACCACGGAACCCGTGCCGTTACCCGCTGGTGAGCATTCGAAAAGTTCGCGAGAGCATGCCGCGTCAAGCTGAAAAGGGAAAAAACCGACGCGTAACGTCCCGATACTGTTGTGACGCAGGAGGCATTCGAGGAACGCGTTCTCTTCTTCCTCTGTGTGACGTAACCGAGAGTTGCAAGAGCGGTATGACGTGCCACGGAGCAAACAGCTCGGAACAGTCGTCAATCCGCTCTATCTCTCGATTACAACCATCTATGAACTCAATGAAATTTCCGTATTTTCATTACAATTTTTCCTATTTTTTGATGGCTGAAATAGTCCTTTTCTATTCACTAAGAAGATCTTTATAGTCTGCAAAACTATAATTGCAGTAATTAAATTACATAATGGGGTGTGTCTTGGAGGGAGGAAATATTAGTTTTCCATTTTTCACGAATTCTTGCAGTTTTGTGTTCCCAGGTAAAAGGTAACTTTGTTATTTCCTGGCATACAGTATATTTTAAGTCAGATTCTCGTAGAAATTTCGCTGAGTGTATTATTAGACGTTTGCCAAGTTCCCAGTGCCTCCTGGTCTCCATCGGTTCGCAGTTCTGCGATTCTTTAAATCGATTTCGTGTCTTGGATTAGCAATGTACACGTAACATTTGCTTTCCATAACCTTCCTGAATCTCCATCAGCCACCAGCTTCAACCACCTCGCTTCGACCCAGCTTCGAACCGCCTGACCATGCCATAGGACAAAGCCTATTTCGATCTTACAGTGCTTTCGTCGGAGAACCAGCAGGACACTTACACGCCAAACTGCGTCTCCATGTATCCAGGCCACGGGACGTCATCTACGTCTCTGCCTCTAGTGCCCAGCAAGTCCAGCGACCCGGACATCTTCACGGGAGGCGGAACAGGAAGTGGCAGTCCTGGCTATCACTATGGTTCTTGGACACCGACACCAGCCACGCCGGTTCCGGTCGCCTCGCACAACTACAATCCTAATTACCAGGGCTACTACAACAACCCTAGCCAGAACTACATCAGCCCGGCGCCTATGGTTCTCTATCCGCAACTCTACAGCACGGTGAACCAAAATCAGATCCATCTTCACCTTCACGGCGACCTGACCGACGAACAGGTCACCATAGCAGGTAGCAACCTCACCATCAGCAGCAACAGACTGGAGATCGGGGTCCTGGGCGAGGAGAGCGAACAACGGAACGACGTCTGGAGGCCCTATTGAGGAGATCCTGACTACGGGGATGCTGAGTTCGTAAACGTTCGAAATTGTACCCGGTGTTATAAATGTGATATCGACGAAAAATTCGTCGCTCAAAGCGGCCAGGACGTTCGAAAGAACGTCTAAATAGGAGAACTCGAGTTTTTGGGACTCTGTGGTGTTCGTGGGTTGCAGGTTGTATGGTTTTCATGGTCGCGGAAGGATTCTCTGAGAGAAGCAAACGCATCGAGATCACAGGTGGAATGAAATTGTTTTTGTGGGAGATTTGATGTCTCAAGGTCTTTTTCGAATGTTCGATGCTTCGAAGCCCAGGCGCGAGTGATCAGTGTTTTGTGGAATAATACTGATGACAGTGAGGTAACTGGCGAGAGAGTCTGAGATGTTGGAAAGGATCTCGCTGGACTGCTTGATCGCGATTGAGAGGATCGATAGGGATGGAGTAGCGAACGATTCGGTGTTGTAAACCGAGCCAGCGGGTAGACAGTCCATGTAACGTTGTAAATACACAGATATTTTCCAAGAAATAAAATCTTGCCTGAACAGGTTCCTGAATCCCCACCGTTCACCAGATTTATCAGGTTCAATAGAGCGCCCAGCCGACTATAGTCACATTCCCACTTGGGCGTGTCACTCGTTCAACGCGCTGACTGCCACAACCGAATCCATCAAGTTTCCTACGACATTTTGTTTCAGACAGTTTAAATTTACTTAATCTTAGCGTTTATCGTAGTGTTAACCGTTGCAACTTCGTCGAAATTCATGAACATCTCGCGTTGGAAATTAATTTTTTTAATTAATTCTGGGCCCTTACATTAAATCACCTATAACATTTATTCAAACTAAACTTTCTTGCTTATCAAGAAATGTCAACTGTAGAACTATGCAAGCGTCATAACTTGAACAAACACTAATGAGTCCAACAAGTCATCGAAGCAAAGAAATTGATTAGTTCGAGTTTCGCGAAAAAAATTTCTATTTTTTGAACAAAGAACATTTTAGAACACCGAAAAAATTTGTCGACCATGGTACATATAATTTTCCTTTTTAAGAGTCAAGACGTCAAAGTCGAGGACTAATTGCAATTAGCATTATCCGAAGACACAGAAGTAAAAATGGCCTCTGCGATTGGATGTAGCTACGGTAGGACTTTGTTTGTGTGAACAAACAGCTCGATCGAAGGAAGAATCAAGAAAGATGAACGACCAAAGGACCCCCTTCATTAGCGCGGAAATACGATGAATAGATCCTTTCCGGTAGTTTCAAGTAGAAAAATTTTTATCCGGCTGGCAGCGTGGTAGCAAACCACAGAGGCGCGGTGGTCTGTCTGTGTCTGTCTCTGTTTCTCGGCACAGGGGGCACGGATAATCCTTTTCACGAGCGCAGCGAGCTCTATTTAATATTTAAAGCACGCTGGAAATGACGAACGGACGGATAGTTGCGGTCTACACCGGCCAGGCTCACAGTGTCCTACCTCCCTTTATTAGCAATCCACCCTGCTTTGTTGTCCCTGTTTTACTTTGCCGAACTCTTCCGGACCGTCGTTTTTGCTCCCAGAATCTCTCGTGAGGTAAAATTAAATCTTAAAAATTATGCTAAAATTTTTCCCCCTTTCTGCCATTTTCACGCCACAAAAGTTACGAATTCTTTAATCCCTAATGTTCGTGACGTGTACGAAACGTTCAATATGGCAGCTCGTTCGATCCAGAGTCGGGTAAACTTTATTAACTTTTATTTATTATTTGGTGTATGCAAAAGTTTATATTTTATTCGAGATATCTTTATTAACATGTTATAAACTATATAATACTTTTTAGTTCTTATTTTTCGAGTCAATGAAATTTCGAAATCGTGAAAATAGAAACAAATGAAAGCCTGATCGTACTAAGTTTATTAACTATTGGTGCGATTAAACTTCACGTTTCGACTCTATTAACGTTTTACGAATCATCAATGTAACGTAGGAAAATTATTTTACAAGTTTATTTTATTTTGATTATTTAGAAAAAACTAATAAAATGTCAACGGTTGTGTCTACTATCAGAGTTTATTTGGCCCATATTCAATACGTAAATACGCATATTCAATATTCAAACTGTGGTTAATACAATCATAAAAAAAAAATGTTAAATGGCTCGGTAATATTTTAGTAAAATCTGTGACACGCAATATGAGTCATATTTTTACTTTTATTCTTAGTTTACGTTTCTTCGATGTTTTCCGTAGTCCTTCGACTGGATTTAATTTATTTCATTGGTGTCTCGAGAGCTAGAAACTTGAAACATTGTGTAATTATTTGAAAGAGTACGCGGAAAATGGGTTTTATTTATTTCGAAGTCCTCGAACGAGGTTAAAGAGCTGCCTCCAACGAATTTGGAGTTTAGAAAGACTGCATTGAGCAACGATTGCAACGATCAGTAGAAAGTTACTTAAATCTCGAGTTCCAAGCGAAATTACTGCCTGAATGAGGAATTAATAGATAATCCGTTGATCGTCGAGCTACGTGTATAGAACGAAGAAGCAATCTTCGTGATTAGAATCAACGTTCTAATGAGGAGGTTGAAGCAACTGCGCTGTCCATTTCCCGGTTTTAAACTTTTACCAAACTGGTAATGGCCGCGTTCTTCCTTTCTGCAAATCGATAAAAAAAAATAAACGACAAAAATACATTTACTCCTTGAAACTTCCGGTTCGTAGAAAGTATTGTCACAAAAATCCGGTAAAAGGAAATGTGAGATTACACGACTAATTTCTGTGTCACTGTATCTGCTTAGAATCTACTACATAATTCTGAAGATGGATTTCTTTAGTACCTTTCTCGGAATTAGAATCTGCCATTTCATTATTCCATGACAGTACCGAATTAAAATTCATCTTCCTCGTACAGGTAGAAGCTTCGTGGAGTTTCAAATGCCACAAACACACACTTGGGTTTTTTTTAAACAGTGCAAAATACATTATTCTCTCTTATTTATATTCTGCGATAATAATGAATCAAATTCATTTTCACGTGATAACACAGAATTACAAAATACTACACATTACGTACACATTAAGTTTTCTGAACAGTGCAGAATACAAAATGCAGAATTACGGATTCGAGAATCAAAATTATTCATTATATTTTATAAAATAGATTCATTCAAAATTGATAATTTCGTAAAGTTCAAAAAAGTCACAGATACGCGTTTAGATGTTTCTCTTCCAACATTCAGAATATTCTAAACGTGATATAACTTTTTTAGAATCAGTATTCATTATCCATTGCCTTTCAACGCAATACGTAAATGAAGTTGTCTTCCTCGCGTGAAAAGATTGAAAAAGTCCTGGACAAAGGATTCTATAAAACAGAGGAACATTCGCTGCAGAAGGTACCTGCCCTTTTTTAAAATAAATACAGTCCTTCCCGCGTCGATTTGTCTGCTCTTCGCGGACGGAACGCTTTCCGGTGACTTCTTACGCTTCCTCTTCGGTGATGTTTACTGCCACGGCGAATGGAACGTCACGACAGGAATAAAAGCATGGGATAGGCCTAGAGGCGGCCGTCGCTCGTAAGCTTTCCTCTTTACGAGGATGACTCGACCGCAGACGAAGAGCCTCTCCCGCCCTTTTCTGCGCCCGTTAAAATGAACTAAAACGCGTTTCGTCTCGCAGGAAATCGTCGACACCTTCGATACCACACGACATCCATCGCGGTTCGTGTCAAAGACTGGCCGAAACTCAGCTAATGAACTTAGACCCGTTCTCCAGAATCCGGAGCCTTAAAATGTCAGGTTCGAAAAGTCGACTTTTCAGTGTTTACAATGATCAATTTCAAACACAGTTAAAATTCTTCTGCTGGTTTGATCCATTCCTATGAATTTCAGAATTTTCCAAAAAGGAACAAATATGTACTTGCATAATATTTCTTTGAAGATTTGAAATCGCTGAGTTGTAAATACGAAAAAGAAACGGAATATAATTTTTACTTTATGTTAAACTTTCGTAAAAGAAGTTCGATCATTTTTAATTTAACGCTAGTTTTTTACGTCTAAGAATGTCCTTAATATTTGTTAATATCAAATTAAATTTCTCTTTTTATGGCATTATTGATAACAGTAACGTAATTACAAAGTTTTAATCTAATATCATACGTTTAAAGTGTCGGTCACCGGTGACCACCGTGGCAGTCAATGTGTCAAAGAGTGGAGGGAAAAAAAAGTCTGGCTACTGAAGCGAAATTGGATATAGCGTACCTTGTAATATAATTAAAAGTTTTACACGGCTGCATCAAATTTCTCAAACTCCAACACCCGTATATTCGATCGTACAATTTTATTAACTCGCAGTAATTGATTATTCAACGTTCGTACATTCCTTGTCCATGCAGTTTCAATTGTTCGTTAATCGCCGTTTCATTCTCACTCGGCCGTCGAGTGCAACAATTTAAAATACTGCCGCGACAGTGCGTTATAAATGTACGTTTTACTCGTTCATACTGTGTGTCTTGTACACTTAGGCGAAACGTTCGGCATTAAAATCTTGAAATTTATTCTCCCCGACGGAAGAAAACAAAGAAACGGAACGGGGTCTACGTAGGCACGTTTTATTATCAATTATCAACACCTCCGCGTTTTCATTAAACGATCTGACATTCAACAATACTTACAACACCGATGGAATTCAGGACAGAATGGAGACACTCGCGTGGCAATAGTCGATTTATACAACAGTCGGTAATTATATCTTTCTTCCTCACTAACTTACAAACGATATACAAAATATATGTATAATATATTATATCGAAGCAATAAATAAACTGAAAAGTCGTCGGCTAGTCGCTAAAGACCAGAATATGAAAATTAACGATAAAAATATCTAGCTTCTCTCGCTGATCGTCGCTACGGACCAGCAGCAAGAGTATTATTTACAATAAAATATAACATTGTTATTTTCTTTCGCGTGTTGCAGTTCTACAGTTCTGCGGTTCTCTTTTTTTTTTTTTTTTGGCAAAATCGGAAGGACTCCTCGAAATCCCTCCATTCGCACGAAGAATATAATAACTTTTTGCTCTAAACGTTTCTCTAACTTCCAGATTCAACAGCATTCGTTAATTCTTAACTTAGTAAGTACTCCCGTTCTCCATTTTCCTTAATAGACTAATTCCTGGATGTCCGTTTGGATTGGTTTTTAGGTAAAGGAGGGAAATACAGCTGACGATTGAAAAGAAATTTGTGTGCAGGACGATTCTAAAATATCTGTTTTGATCAAACTTTAGTTTTCGATGCCTGATAAAACTTGAAATTATTAGTAAAAGGGAGATGAACTGCTTAAAAACGTAAATTATTGGCACAGAAGCGACCTTTGACGATACAAACATATCATCGTATTTTGTGATGTATTCAAATATGGGGTTAAATTTGAGTTAGGTTCGATTTTTTAAAATAATCTACACCCACTTCCAATAAAAAAAAAATTTAATCAATTTCTGGAATAACTTTTCTCGTATAATTTTTAGAAACGGTACCTTCTTTCATTCTGGCTTGAGAGCTATAAAATTTAGCGATCTTCGTGAATTTTTTTCCATCGACTACTACGTCCTACAAATAATAAATAAATAGTAAAATTAGTGGAATAATTATTTCCTGCGACGAAGGTACACTTTCTTAAGAATCGCCCTGCACACCATTTCGGAATTAGGGTTTACTCCAAGGGTCTGTCCCTCCCTTAAAATGGGGTAAAATCATCCAAGAATCGTTGTTGGGTTTTCGTTTGGGAAAGAGTTGTACGCTGTTTCTTGAAAGTTCGAGGGATGGTGCCAGCTCGCGACGTCGATCGGGCTCGTCGCGACGCCGCGCGTATTCGCCCGACGCTGGAAGCAAGGCTCCGGATACATTCGACTCCGCGACTGGACCGCAAACTACAGTTAAGCGCAAAGAGCATAAAATGAGAATCGAGAGATGTGCGTGCAGAGTGGATCGTAAATAAAATCCTTGTCTCTCCGTGTCGACGCGTCTGGGCGCGCGGTGAACTAGAGACAAGCTGAAAACGGGACATCGTTTCTTTCGCTAGGATGAGCTATTGTCGGTCGTGTGCACTGCACTTCCGGCCGCTTTCGGCGAACCTGGGATCCTCGAACTCCTGTCTGAAACTCTGGCTCGACGTTCAACTTCGTTAGCAGCGATGGCGTCCGAATGGTCCTCGATCATCCACCTTAGATCCATTCATTCTTTGGGACTCGATTAGAGATACAGTTCTTAACACTTTCACGGCCACTGTCTCGCGTGTGTGGTGTCACGTTTGTAAAGGTTTTTTATTTCGTATACTCCTTATGGTGTCCCAATATTTGTAACTCCTTGTAATAATATTTCTAGCATCTTCGTGTGCTTCATTTTGCTGCTCGTACGAATGCAGTTGAAAGTTTGTCGATTTAGATTCAAAGAATTTAATCAGAAATTTCAACTTCCATAAATTCAGAAATAGTTTGTAACGAAAGTGTCCGAGACTGAAGAAATAAACAATTGAATAAAATTGATATTCATCTGTTTGCTTGTAGAGCTAATATTTGAATATCTATAAAATGTTAAACTTGAAAATATCGCTTCGAAAAACAGTTAGGGAGCCTCCACCAGATTGACTGTCAACAGATAGCAGTCTTCGTGCGAAACGTGCGGCCATTGAAGTGTTAACGCAGATCTCTTGCTGTTCGTAATATATTTAGCGTACGAAAGTATACTTCGATTATTCGAGAGCGAAGATGTAGAAGATTTATAAATATTCGACGATGTTCATGGGGTTGAATAGACGTTGCTGCTCGAGTCGAAGTTGTCGATGATTAACAGAAACGTTCACTCGGTGTCCTATTGACATTTTTGAGTTCGCTGGTAGGCACCGAAATGGTTTCAGAACGATTTGTGGAAATACATCTGTTCCCAGATGTATTGAAGTTGCCCCTAATTGCTCGTTAACCCGTATAACACGGCAATTCGGTGGAAAAGGGCCGATAAACGCTGCTTGAGGACGTGGTCCACCGCGTGCCTCGTGAGGACTCGCACACCGCTCACGAAAACCGGAAGTAACGGGGTCAGTTGGTTATCCTGTAAACAGTTTTTCGTTTTTACATCGTCAACGCAATCATTCACGAAGCTTGTTTCTCATGAATTGCGCCGTTCTTTTTGAAACTAGTATAAGTTCATTTGTTCATACATTATTATTTAAAGGTATATGTATTTGAATAAATTAAAAACAAAACTTGCCAACGATCATGCCACGTTGAAAACACCGGTTCTCGTCCGATCACCGAAGTTAAGCAACGTTGGGCGCAGTTAGTACTATTACGAGAGGAGATGTTAGCACGCTACCCACAAGCTAAACCCTGATGCCCTCTACTTTTTAGGTTTTTAGCTTCATTCGAGATCGACTTACTCAATAATAACCAAGAATCTAACAAATGGAGGGGATTACGTGGGGCCTCTTGAGTTGTTTAGATTGTAGGTAGTGTGCCATCATTTCGTCTCCCAATAGTACTTGAATGGGTGACCATTTTGGAACACTGCGTATTGTTGGCAATTAAACATTTAATAAAAATAAATGAAAAGAATTCATAAGAAACAAGATTCTTTTCATTATAGTGTACGAATATGAGCAGGAGTAACTGTAGGTAAACATACCATTATTCGTGAATATCGGTTTTTATGAGAATTATGAAAGTATTTTCAACTCACCGGCAAAGCCAAAGTCCAATCCAAAACGGTGCTAAGAGTTTCGGCCCAGGCCTTCCTGTGCGCCTCGCTGTCCTTGTGGATGTTGCTCTTCCTCTGGAACGCGGTTTCCCGCGTCGGGAGGTCCTGGTTGTCGACGCTCGACTCCTCTTCGCCGTCCCTGAGAAACGGATTGGTCCTGAAGCCTCTCTTGCTGTGCTCGTAATCGCGCAACAGTTCGTCGATATTATCCAAAAACTTTGGCGATCCTTTTTCCTCTTTCTTGTCGATCTTCAGGGACAGGCGAGGAGAAGCCTCGAGGTCGTTGGACGAGCTGGACACGGTCGATCCCCGTGTCCTCCTCAGCTCCATCACCGATCTGCACCTCAACGCTGCCGCGTCGAAGCGTTCAAATTTCTCGTCGTCCGTTTCGCCGGCATCTACGAATTTAAAAGAGTCTCTGCGAGCCAGCAAGCAGGCGTCGCTTTTCCTTCTCTCTGGTCTCGGTTTCCGATACCCGGAGAACTCGTCGAACGTCAAACTAGCAGCGGTCGCCTTTGCTTCGAGCGCGTTCGTCGCGAAAGAGTACGCGGACTCGGTTCTTCTCAGCGGGCTTAGCTTGTAGTACAAGTCGTCGCGATTGTTGATCAACCGCGGCGGGGCTGGAGTCGTCGAACTGTACTTCCCGTCGATGTATCCCTCGCTGGAGGTGCCGCCGGACCGATCGGGATACACGATCTTCTCCGTGACCGAGCCCAACCTGGACACTGGCCTGGAGTCGTCGGTCTCCGGTTCGGACTCGGGACCAGAATCAGTGGAGTACTCCACCGCTAGGTCAGACAGTCTGAAGGGCCTAGCGTCTTCGTCAGACTCTGGGCCGAGTTCTTCCAGCCCACTCTCGTCGTCCAGGTTGATATTGTAGTCCTCGATATCCTCTGGCTCCTCCTGGCCCGTCAGATCCTCCGAATTGACTATCGGTGGCTGCGCCAGAATCGCTCTGTCGTTGATGGGTTCCTTTCTCGTGATCTCCGGAAAGTCATCGGGCTGAGCTACCAACAAAAATATCTTCCTCTCCGAGAAATTGTCGACTTTGGTGTGTCTTCCATCCTCGTCCAGGACCACCTCCACGTAGCTCTCGCAAAGTTCGTCGAACGTGTTGCGCAACTGTCTCAGGTACCTGGACAGCTTTCTCAGGCTCGGTGTCTTGAAGCACTTGTCGTCGGGGCTCGAGGTCAGCATCGACTTCACCGTCTCCAGGGTCACCTCGGTGTCGTCCATTTCGCGCAGACACAGCTCGAACAGAGTGACTATCTTGACGGTCCAGGCTGCTCCGGCCTGGCGATAGAGGTTCGCCGGTTGTCGGAGGTTCGCCACCTTCTGGACCAAGAATTTCAAACCAGGGCGGCAGTCGAACTTCAAGGCGGCTGCGTATGAGAGGTCCAGCGCAGAGAAGAAAATGTCCACGTGATGGCTGGTCAGGCACGAAAGACAACCTTGCACGAAGGGCTTTGGCGACGCCGATGACAGTGAGTGCGGAATGACGTGCGACAGGCTAAAAATTTGGACGAAATTACGATGACGTTGACACGACGTATTGAGTCAGAACTGCAGTTAACCGTGCAGATTTGAGCAAAAGTAAACCTTGCAGTAGTGTATTTGCAAAGATGTGTAATCTTGTTGGAGAAGAGTACGTACCTGGGAAAAGAGGAATCAGCGCCCTGCAAGAGCACACTGGCGATGCAATGGAGGAGCATCTGATGAACCAAAAGACCGACCACCAGTGCTCTGAGCTGAACTCTGACAATATAGAGGTCGGGGTTGAGGGTGGAGGCCACCGAAGGTGGATATAAGAGGAACACGTACGATCTGTCGTCGGACGTTCTTGATGTGTCTTCGGTGCGTTGTTCCTCGAGGAGGAACACCTGAAGAGACGAGCATAAGAACGTCAGCCCTTCGGCGATCGAGGGCGATATTGCATCGCATGATTCTTCGTAGATCCTCGAAGGACGCTTGGTATTCGCGCATTAGGCGGTTCAGGTAGTTCTAGGAATCTTCGAGGAACTACGGAAGCTATCGTGCGTGACGTTTGGAGCCTGTTGCAATGATATCGTGATGTCGTGACTAAGGATGACGGTCCGTTCGTGATTAATCGTAAAAAGTAATCGACGGTGGTTCTAGCTCGACCTAACGTGATTTCGTTAATTCGATCGGTCGGTTAAATACGTGTGCATTCTACGAAAGCTGCAGCTTCTAGAATAGGTGTCGTATATCTCATCACGTACATATTATGTGACAGTGAAATTCTAGCCATGGACTCAAGCCATGGATTTTAATGGTGATACGCAAGACCGTGCCAAGTTAAGTTTAAATGATATCTCGGCCAACGACGGGGTCCTTCTATGCTCCGATCAATTTTTTCCAGACGCGTTAACACGTTCACTGCCACGCCAGTCGACGTTTGCTCGAATTCGAGCGAGAAACACGGAAATGTATTCTGCCATTGTAATAAATCTAGCAACGCGTTGCGAGTTCGAAGCGTCGGCCATCGGTGACCACCGTGACAGTGAACGTGTTGATCATTCGAATGATTTTATTTGCCAATAAGTCTACGGTACTTTGTAGATTGAATGCATGAAAGAATTTGAAGGATTCCATGGACGAGGATGAATTCTATGACAAAGGACCTCGTCGAGGAGGTTCTGCAGCCTGACCTGTGCCTTCTACCAGCGAGTGCAAACATCTAAACGAGGTGATCGGTTTACCAATCGTTTCGTCTCAGCGTCGACAGGCTTACTTCGATTCCTCCCCGTCCTTCTCATTCGCTCCCGTTGCGAAGGCCGTTAAAAAGGTATGAGGGTGCAATACAAGAACCAATCAGCAGATAATAAAAGCATCTGTATTTGACACAGTGTGCATCGAGCAGTACAAAAATACACATTTAACGTGACACGGGAGTCTCGACAATGCGCACTCTTGCACAAACGTTTTATCGTTTCGTTAATATCTTTTTCCCCCTTCGAACACTCTGACAGTCGTCTAATTGTAACGCTGCGCAGCGGCATAGAATTCGAGTAATCGCCTCGAACGCAACGGATATTTACACGTGCAGTGGTGTCCGGATATATGACAACGAATTTGTCCGCTTATATGATCACTATCGTTTCTGGCGATGGCGGATCGAGCCAAGCCTCAACATTATTTGCACTTCTAGCCAAAATTGTAAGTTCATATCATTTTTGGCTGGTTTATTGCCATGGATAAAATATAAAAAATAGTTTTGTAATATTCGTATAGGCAATGAACTATTTTAAAAAAAATTCTGTTTGCATATTGAGCAAGAGTGTATGTTTTTGTAACACTTCATTTAAGCAATCAATTCTAGTCCCTGTTGTGACTCTAAAATTGAATTAAAATATTGGCTATATTTTTTTAAAATACAAATTAAACGACATTAAGCAGTCTTAAATTTATGCAAATGTAATATTTTTAGCTTCATATATCTGGACACCACTGTACTTATTTCGGGGGGAAAAAACTTGGATTCTACGCCGCTGTATGCCATCAGCCATGTAGATGCAAGCTCGAACACACGCAAAGCGCACAATTCATTTAGGCACGGCGTAGCAGAAGGAAAAATAATTATATAGAGAATCTGAGAAATCGTCTACGATCACAATTTGCGAGAGCGAGGATTCCTTTCCAGAGAAACGGTCTCCGAAGGCAGAAAGCGGTTGCAGTCGATTTTTCGTCGCGATGAACGTGGATCGATTAGCAGGCCTGTCGACGACGATCGCGTCGCGAGAGTCATTGATCTCTCGGTAGAGAATTTCGTATAATTTTCCAAATTCCGTTGGTCGGTACAAGAAGAATCGATGCGGTACATTCGTTCGTCTGTTTGCTTTGCCCTATCGTTTTCATTAAATTTTTTGTTTTGTTTTGTATTTTTTTTTTTTTTTTTTTTTCTTAAAATCCATGACGTGAGTTACCGTGGGCGGCTAGAGCCAATGGGGGCCCGTGTTCGACGTAGTGTTAGTGTAATCGGGGGGTGTCGTGTGCTGCCTACAACCGACGGAGTAGGAGGTAGTGTGCTGGTCGAGCAGTGTCGTCTCAATGGTCATCGAATCCTGGAAAGGTGTCGTCGGCAGTGACGCCGCATTCTGCCTCTTGATGGCAGACAATACCTCGCGCAGCTGGCTCACCTGAGAGCAAGTCAGGTCAGGAGGGCACCACGTGTGTCTCTCTCGCAAGCAATTACCGATTTATAGGGCTTTCCAACAAGAGCGATAGAATTTTCAATCGCCATGGCCGCCATATTTCCTATTCGCTTGTTCCAGTCGCGTGACAATTCTATTCGCTAGTGATTTCAATGCCATCGTGGAGAGTTACACGGTTGCTCATCGCGTTGAAATCATTAAGATTTATTATCAAAATTTTTATTCGATTCGAGTAACGTTATTACGTTTAGTGGAAAAATTCGAAGTTACTGGTTCGATTGTTGATCAACGTAGTGCAAAACAGAAAATATTGCTACCGTAAGGGAAAGTATTACTGAAAATGCAAATTTATCGATTCTAGGACGTTCTCAAGAATTAGGCTCAGACTTCTGTCTGGCGAATTCTTTAGAAAGATTTAGATCTTTGTCCTTGCAAGATCCAATTAACTCAGGAATCAAAGCCTGCTGATCATCGTATGCAACTTCAATTTGCTGATTGGACTTTGATTCTGATTTTTCAAAAACGTGAAGTTTACTTATTACTAAGCAAAATTGTCGAATTTTGTTGAAACTATCTCTTTATTCAAATCAAAATTCAATCATAAAATTATTTCGAGAAATTCAGCTGTCAACTGGCCATCAGGATCTCATGACGAGACGCCATTAGATTTTTTCTTTTGGGGCCACAAAATTATTTATTCAAACAAGCTATAAACTATTGGCGATTTCAAAGCAAACATAATTCGTGTTATTGGCGAGATAGAGTCCCATTTGTGTGCCAGAGTCATTGAAAATTGGGTTTACTCGCTCCACTAAACGCAATCGTGGTGGCCGTTTAAATTGCATTTCATGTATATCGAAATAAAGCAACGAGCACCAGATTATCTTTCGTAGATTTTATCTCAATTCAAAGTTCCATAGCTGTTATTGGAAAACCCTATAGTTATTTCTCTACAGGGTCAGTCGATAATAATTATTATCTAAAATGTTTTGCGATCTATTAGTTTTATTAAAAAACGTTTCAAAGGATTTTGCAGTATTTGGAGAACCTCACGAGATTGATGGAATTCGTTTTTTAGTACTGTCTACCATATCAAACTAGAATTTTCTACGAGCTCAACATTTAGTTTCTGAACAATTGGATGTTACTTAATTTAGAGTTTGTCTTAGTACTTATTTTTGTGACTTCATCGAAATTCGTGGATCCTATGCAGATTCATTTTCATGAATGAAAAATACGAATTCAACCATCTACAATAAGATGAACTTAAACCTTGAACCTCAAAATTAAACAAAGTAGTAGAAGTATTTCTTCTAGCATTTTCTGTAAACCAACCACTTTGTCTTTTTATTGGCTGCAATGCAGCATTGTCCTTCAAAAAACTCTGATCACCATACTGTCTCATTAAACAGCAAATTTAAAGAAAGACATTCAATTCATCTTACGAGTGTCTCCAAATACAACAAAATCTATCGAAATATTTTTATTAAAACTAATAGATACCGAAACATTTTAGACAATAGTTCGTATTGACTCACCCTATATGCGCACAACGCTCTCTCACACATTCACATTGACACCTGAGCAAAGTTACTTGAACGTTACAAATTCTAAAAAAAAAAGAAACAAAAATACGTGAACTCGCTTGCGTACGATCGATCGACCCCGCCGAAACGACGGAATTTTGACAAAGAGCATCGAACGGATCACTGAAATTACAATCGAGAACAAATGGTCGAATGGTCAATTGATTTTGTACAAAAGCGACAAGGGACAATGTTCAGTCTTCTAGGGAACTTCGTACCTCAGAATGTGCGATTCGAGGAACGTCTCTCGAAAAATGAAATCGAAGTTCGTAACTTCGATGGTTGCTGGCAACAGGGATCGCGAAAAGCTTCTGGACGATGTATTTCTAAGGATACTTCGACGCGCGTTCGAGTGGAAAAGCAATAGCCTTAAGGATACAAGCCGCCGACATGTTTTACAATTGCTATACTCTGAGCCCTTAACTCTTTGCCAACCGCACACTTTTCGTAAACTGCATGCAATAACGTGGCTAACTTAAACTTGTACAAGACGCTTAACTGTGCTAAGTAAGACCAGTATCTCTTTAAAGAAAGGAGATATTAAAGGTGCCAAAGAAGGAAAAAATATATTTGCAAAGAGAACATTTACATAGTAATTTTAAAGCAGCAAGAAGAAGTTATTTTAGGCTATCGAAAAGTTATTTTCTTCATTATAGATATGCTTATCGTATATTTACACAACTATCGTAGATGGGTGTGTTTCAAATGTCACTTCACACTATATGTATATTCCAAAATTTATGTTGCTATCTATTATACGTATATGCAAGGCTGTTCTTGATGGGGGCGTAAAAGGTGCACTTTATTGTCCACGGTCTCCCTAACCAAGGTACCCTGATTATTATCATAAGGGTTAACATGCTGATGTCCAAAAATAGTACAGTATCGTCTACAGTCTCCTGATTCTCAACATCCTTTATCAGCCGGTATCAAAATTACGAACTTCGGGATCTATTTCCGAAAGGTGGTTTCGTCTGGTTACCAGGCTAAATATGATTCCAAATTTAATTCCTCTCGAGTTGTTCGCGTGTACTTACGTACGATCAGAAATCGCCTGCACACTCTTGAGTTCCAAATACCCTAAAACCCTGAACACCATGTTTTCGATGCAAGATAGGGAACATCGATTACAAGGATCAGTCTTTAGTTTGTGCTGTCCGCTGATCACCGAATAGTCAGGATAGTCGAATGGATACACTCAGCCGAGAGCTCGTGGCGAATGTGAAGGCACAAAGAAGCACAACGAACGTCAAACAGCCAGAAGTGAAATATTTCCTTCCAGATAGTGATGTTCAAACATAAGAGGCAACATTGGGGCAACCTACCTGGGCGGCGAGCTGCCGTAGCCGTTCCGACTCCTCGAGTGTTGCATCCCGTCGCGCGGCAACCTTGACCTGAGCAACGTCACCGTAAAAGGATTCTGATCTCGGTGAGAAAGCCATGGTCAGCTGGTGCAATTCTTGCAGAGAATTTGAACAAGCGCGGTAACAGGCGACGCCGCAGACCTCCCATTGTTCTGGGGTGAGAAGCGGACCGCTGCTCACGAGAACGTGCCTGTGCAAAACGAGATTTCGCCTCTTCAAATGTCAGTCTTCAAACTCTCATTACTGTTACAGCCCTTAAGAACCACCGACGATCGATACATGCAAAATTATAGCGTTATGCGTCATTCGACAGTTGGGGTACAGTACTATTACAAAAAACGACGTTTTCTATGGCAAGCTTTTTCATCAATATCTAGAACTTCTTCTTCATCCACCCCTGCTCCTTCAAATCTCGCAACGATCGGTCCCTGGAACCTTTCTGAACTTTATCCACGTTTCATTTGTAAAGTCTCTAAATTAAAATCCATCGATGATCTTTTAAAAGAGTATCAAGGTACGTAACTTCAATTTGGACGATTGTTGTCCTTTCTCCCAAAGTTCAGACCCCTAGGAGGGTCCGTTTTCTCTGTAAGCAAGCGCGAGAGGAACGAATCCAAGTCCGGGTCGGCGAGAGAAGCGGATTGCTACCAAGAGTGGGTGACTCTAGAATTTCAGATCAGGATCCCGTTCGTCATTCACTGCCAGGCTAGCTATCTGCCCGCGAACCTGTCCCGTTTTTAAACTTCGCGCACGCCTGTACATCGATACCTCGCGACCGACCCCGGTCAGGATTGAATTACACAGCTCGACGTACGCCGTGCATTAATACGGAGAAAACGCGCGAGTGGATACAGCCGTGCCAGAGATAGAGAAAGACGAACGCCCTGGACGGGGTCTGTAACGTGTGCGTGCCACACTCACGTGTCCTTGTGTGAGTGTGTTGTTGGCACGACGCTCCGGGGGTGTCGAGTGTCGGTGGCTACCTTATCCCACCGGACAGCCTGTCAAGCTTCGTTATCATCTTACACGCACGCTACGCCCGTAACGACGATATATCTAACCTCCGTCGATGTACATTCCATCGAACCTCCGCGTTATGATTCACCCTTTCTCTCTTCTGATCGTTCTACTCTATCTCGACACGCTAGCGCCGTCCCTTTCCGATTGGCACACAGTGCTCCGGTAGGTGCTGGCCTGGGACGAGACTTTCTTTTTGCGTTTATTCGCTACCAAATGCTATACAGGGCGGGTGGAGAATCCTACAATCTCTTCATTCGTGGTTTCTTTTTCGAGAAAATCGATTTTGAAGTTTACTCAGGGAATGCAATACGATTTATTTATCGTGCATTCTATTGAAGATTGCCCCCGTTCGTGCTAGTATTTACAAACAATGACAGGGTACCATAGAAAATACTCAGATAGTTCGATGTCTGACACAAGTCATTGTCAAGTTGTGGCAAGGTATTGATAGAAATATTTTCGAAAGGCATAAAAGTGTGATGCACTTCTGTTCTCCATAACCCAATACATAATTCCATGGAAAATAAAAGCTTACCTGATACAGGCGCAACCCAAACGAGCTATGCTCTCTGTGGGCTGAACGACGCATTCCGCCATCACCAGTAAAAGTTGCTTCAACATCAGCGTCGTGGCTGACAAATAGGCATCGTTTCGAACAACATCGGGACCTAGAAGCCATGAAATGAGGCCCAGTTACTTGCACCTATAAGTCCCTATCCTACTTTATCCTAAAGGCCAGACAATTCACGGACAAGCGACGTAACAGAAGCCTGGAGATTCAAACAAATAGCGACATTTGTTCATAGAAACATCTGTTAGTGAACAATATCGAACGGAACTAGTTTCCAGTCGTTGCTTGTATGTCGCTTGTTCGCAGACTGTCTGCCAGTCTGGACGGATCTTAAAGAAGGCGAGCATGGTTCAATCACCTTGCAAATGAATCAAGTAATCGACAACCAAATCCGTCGTGAGGCCGCAGCACTGCTTGAAGTTCGGTGCAAAGTTGTCCCAGCCCCTGAAGATCTTGGACGTTTTCCTCAGCCAATTCTGAACCATCGGAAGTAGCAAATGATTGACGCAGTAAAGACCGAACGCTGGTCCAGGGACGTTCAGGGTGTCTCGTAGAAGGTGGAACAAAGTTTCCAGAGTATGAGGCTGATAACGTTTCGGGCATATCATCGTGGCGCTAGCCAGACCGTCGATCAGGATGTACCAGACCCTCAGGATGCCACTGGGCTTGTCCATGCTTTGCAAAGTGGTGACCGTGTGAACGTTGTCCATCAAGACGTCGTGCGGCCGTTCGGGCATGGTCTCTTGAATCGACTCGGCGTGCTTGTCGAATCTGATCAGCTCAGAGTTCGGTATGCTGGGGTCGACGTATTGGGGTATGGTCGAGACCTGGATCCTCTGGGCAGAATGGAAGATGGGACAGGCCGGCATCCCGTACATGGAGGCCAGAATGTCGCTGCAGCTCAGAAGGTACTTGAGGCTCTCGACGCACAGTCTCATGCGCCTCGATTCTGCTATATCGATCTGGTTCTGCTCGTCCTGGTGTCCATCCGCGTCCCCGATGCCGCGCACGTGCCTCAGCAGGCACAGGATGCAATCTAACGCCGCATTGGCGAAGACCAACGTATTGTCCGTTGATAGGAAGACCCTGAAAACCTCCAGCAGTGGCGCCGATTCGACGGAATCTGAATTACCGACGGAGGCTACGCGCAGAGCACCGAACAGAGGTCGCCATCCAGAACGAATCTCTGTTCGGTTGGTCTCGACGAACTCGCAGATACAGCTGACGATCTGGCAGGGATAAATTTATCGTGTTTTCGGATGAACTCAGAATTGAAATTTTTTTTCTTATTTCTTTTAAACAATTTTCTATTTTGTGGATCGTGAAGTAACAAGCCAAAAAAATTGAAGAAATCGTCTATTAATTTTGAAGACAAGTTCCAAATCTGTTCGCTACTAGGTTGACGAAGCAAAACGACCTACTTGGTCCTGCACATCGCTGTCGCAGAGTTCTAGGCACAAGAGGTTCTCAAAAGGCTTGAAAAGAGCTTCGTTGAAATGGAAGTGCGGCAGCTCGACTTGTTCGTTCAGTAATGCCGCCATCGAGTCGTGAATGCATTGAACCGCCTTCTTGGAGATGCTGCGATCTTTGTGGCAGGCTGCTTCCATGAAGTGTGGGCCCCAAATGCTCCAAACCTGGGATAACAGTTTTCGGATTACCTTCCCTTCGAGTCTCTTTCCAAAGTCTCATCGAAATCGTCGCACAGTGTGTCCAACAAACGAAAAAAGACAAAAAAACTGTAATCTATGTACAATGGCTGCCATCTACTTAAGACTGTTTGTTGGCCCAACAAGAACACTTTCTTATATTGTGTCATGGCCATATATCCACCATTGTTGACTTGGTTGTCATGATTTAATGTGTTCAAGCAAACATTATGAACTTATCCAAGCGATCTTTATTGCTCAAATATAGTACTATAATTAAGTAAAAATATATAATCGAGTTTGCTTAGATAATGAGCAAATATAGCTTGAAGTTTTAAATATTTGAACACCTCTAGTAATTAAATAATACATCAAGGAATTAATGTCTTTGATGCCAAAAGTTAATTTAAAATAATTTCGAATTCTCCTATGCGCGACACACTGTGCGTCGATACTACTAAAATTCTCACCCTCATTATATGAATCAGTGGCCTGCCACTCTTCACGCACTTCAACATAACTTCCCCTAACCGCGCTAGGAGCAACACGTTCATCTCGTTCTCTCTGGGCTTGCTCTTCCTCCACCAGAAGCGTTTGTTGTCCTTGGAACCGTCCGTGGTTTTGAACAACTGAGCTTTGCTGGCCTTGCAAAGAGCCGTCAGGAACAAGCACAAAGCTCGAAGGTTCAGCTTCAGCGCGGCGTTCTCGAACAGCCTGTCGACTTGTTGCGAGAGAACGCAAACGATCTTCGCCGCATAGTCCGCGGGCAAAATGCCGTTGAACTGACTGTCCGCGTTCGATTCTTGGATGATCTCTGGAATGGCGTCCGAGCTGGGGTTCTGCGTGTAAGGGCTCGAGAGGAAGCTGTAAACGTCGACGCTGTAACGTCGATTCGATCAATCAAACGAGCTGTTCGAATACCGAACAAGAATTTCGTAGACGACGCCTCACCAGGTCTCCTCTTCGTCGACGATGTTGAAATTGAGCCTAAGTTTGTCCTGGCTTCCCTTGGGATCTCCGTTCGGGACATCCTTCTTCTCTTTCTTCTGCTGTGTTTTCGGCAGCGACGGGGTCTGGTTTCTCCCGAAGAAATCGTGTTCCAGCTTGCTCACGTACAGACAGCACCTTTTCAGAAAATTGAAAGGGACGAATAAAATCCTCGGTACGGATTCTCGTACGTTTGGGTAAGCACGAACGAGTTCTCACGTGAAAACGTGCGGCCAGCAATCGCTGCCGTGGCTACCCAGCTCCAAACCCTTGCCCAGCAGCACGTCCATACTCAACGCGTGCGAAGTGTGAATATTGGTAGCCCTGTTTTGCAATTTCAGACGCAGAACGTCCTTCGTCCGGGTGATTTTCGATATAGACTGTTCCGTGCAAGCGGCTTTGGCCAGGAGAGCGAAGATAGAACCGCACCGATTCTGTAGCCCTGAATAACCAAGTACAAACAATTACGTATCACTGTGTATCTTGCAAGGAGAGTGACCTTTTTTTTTAACATTGTCGATAAGTCGAATGATTTTATTAACCAAGTATGTTGCTTAAAATTGCAGCCTTGTGAAGACCCTCCAGAGACAAAATGACGATGTCCCTGATGCTCCTTCTGCCGCCATCCCTGTTCAGGATGCCTTTGTTATTCTCTTCCTTCGGTGGATTCAGTCCTGTCGTCAAAACGGTCATCATGCTTCCCCAGCAACAGGTCAGTACCCTCCTGGAGAGTTTCGCGCCAGCTTCAGCTTCCGGTGTCGGTTCGCTGCGGGACAGTTGCGCCTTCTCGAGCCTTATGTAATCGGACAAGAGTTGTCCGCCTCTCTGGCTACCAGGAATCCCATCAACATCTTACAAAAGACAAAGGTAAAAATCAATATAAGAAACTTCTAAGTCTTTGTCAGATTCTTAAGACATTCATTCACCGGTAAGGACGTTTATCAAAGCACTGTTCTCCGTGTAACGAGGATTGTAGCCACACTTTTCCAACAGGTTGCAGGCTAACACTTGCTGATACAGTTCGGACAGCCAAGTCGCGGACAAATAAACAAGGACTCCGGATCCGTGCACCTCCTCCACAAATTGTTCCTGAAACGAGGATTCGTTGAAATCGACGAGAATCATAGTACCAGGTTGTCCTGTAAACCCTTGTAAGAGTTTGCACAGATCTATTTTCTCCTAACGATAATACCTCGCTAATGGGAACTTGGCGGCTGTCTTCGTGATAGTAACTGATCCTAATCAATTTCAAGTTGAGAAGCAACGCTGCGTAAGTGGCCAAGTAGATTCCATCCGCGTTCATGATCGTGATCAGAGCGCAAGAGTCTGTGCTGGTATCAGTTTGCTCTTGGAGTTTCTGCTGGGCCGTGAAGACGCCTGAACACATTACATTCCAAAATCATTTCACAGCCGCTTAGTAATATGTGATATAATTGCTACTCTGGTACCTTGGCAATACTCCGAGGCAAAGTTTTGCAACGCCTCGTCTACCTCTATGTTGCTTCTGAGGCTCAACACCATGGGGATCAGATCGCTCTTAAGAGTCCTGACGAACTTTCTGGCATTGTGTCTTTCCACGTCCACGTTGCAATCGTCGGCTACTTGACGGCCAACGTGAAGACACTTTGGAAGCTTCTCTAATCGTAGCCTCTCCCTCTCGTTCTCAATGGCGTAGTCGTTGTCCTCCAAGCTGTTCTCCTCTTGGTTCTCGTCGGACTCGTTCTGAGGGCCCTCTGTATCCGTCGAGTCGCCATCTTCCGATGGTCCGTGGCCCGAAGAGTCAGAGTCGGAACCTATGCCCTTCTTCATCAGCTCCAATTGCTCTCTGAAATCGAGAAAAGTGAATACAAAGAGTCCCATGTACAGTGATCCCTCGTTAATAGTTACTATTCTGGGAATTTGTAACTGTTATCTGTCTTGCTTTTTAGAAATTCTATGATTTTCGTATAGTAGCTCAGTTAAAAAATAGTATAATTATATATGTAATTTTCGTTAAACTTCGTTCGAATAATTGCTTACAGCTGCCACCCTTTCAAACAAGCGAATGTTTAGACCTAGAGGAATTCTAACAGCTTGTACTCTCCTCCAAAGACTCCTCAACTTGGTGTCTAATTTAAAGTTTACCTATAAGTTTTTGGAAGCCGTGCCATGCTCTGATAGGTCAGAGGTCCCCGATAGTCGCAGGATTCCAGGTCGTCGTAGAGACTATTGATCGTGCACGTGTAAGTATGATTAATGGCCTTCCCTTCGCAAAGTTCCTGAAGCGCCGACAACATAGCAACCACGCACGACACGCTAGCGTGCAATATACTCAAACCACCAGTCGTCGATTCCTCGATCGAGTCCATTGCACTGTTAGAAAAAATAAAAAACAAAGTCAAAATGGTGTTCGCTCCTAGGATTCGGAACATTCTCGGGTAAAAACTATTTCTTACAGCCTCATTAGGGCCATGTCGCTTTGAATATGGCTGCATCTGTCTTCTTCCACCAACAACGGGCCAGCAAAGTCTACTATTCGACTAGGACTACGTAGAAGCTCCTTCAGAGCCTTCAGGGATTCTAAGCGCTGCTGGGGAGGCGGATAGAGCAACATCCTGTGGAACACGGACTCCAGAACTGGCCGGAGAGGGCCTACACAGCCTACCAATCGCACCAATTCCGTCCCGATGCTGTAAACAATAGCAATCAAATCAACAGATGCATCAGAGTTGGACACATTTTTATCTGGATAAAACTTTTAGATAAAGAATTCGAGTAACGTAAATTGGGTCACGTGAATCGCCAATTTATATCCTTCTGACGAGTACAGAACAAAGATGCCAAAATACAAATTCTGTATCTTTATAAGGAACGTAAGAAAAAGTTTAAAAAATTCATAAATTCAGACATTCTTGCTGCGTATTACGAATAATGATTATCTGAAAAAGTATCTACATGAAGCAACTTATTAGAGTTTATTCGAACAATGTCAACTTGGCACGTTGGTCGAGTACGCGCTGATATGACTCGTTCACTGATAAACATTTTAATTTTAAACACAGCGTGTAGTCGTAACAAACCATTCGTTGTTTCTAGTTAACGTATTTGTGGTTATTCTCGAAACTATTAAAATATCATAAACGATGAAAATTTCACAGTAATTTTTTTTTAGGAAGATTGACGTGCCTGTAGACGGTCTTTGCCTGATGGCTGTCGAAGCTCAAAGACGTGGCCAGGTATCCAGAGCCTCTCCCAACCTCGTTCTCCTTTCCCTCCCTGGAGATGAAGGTTTTGTCCACTCTGGGGGTGCCCAGAAAAGCGATCAACGCGGGGCAGAATTTCTGCCAGAGGAAGGTGGTGAAGTGTGCATTCGTGTGAATCTTCTGCGGTAGGGACGAGATCAGCGTGTGCAGACACTCCAATAGGAACACCACTGTGTTACCGTTTCTGCCATTGCTGGAACAGGGTTTCCTAAAGTCAAACATTCAAAGGTATTCCAGCGCACAGTGGTTCAAAAACTAGCTTCGCGTGTCTCAAATCCGATTTTCCAACTTTAATATTTCGAGAAAACTGTTTTCTCCAATGATTCGACAACTAAGAATGAAACAATTTTTTTAAATTACTTATTACATACAGTCAGGGACGAAAAGATAGATATCCTATTAATTTCTACCATCCCCATTTGAATACGAATATGCTTTTTTACAAATTCTAACCGAATATTTTTATGCTGTTCTGTTAACACAGATTTCCTTTTCAACTTTTGTAGGTTTAGGTATTTACACCATACTAGGACTCTCTGTACGTTCTTTATATTTCTTGCAACATCGACATTCTCAGCAATTTGTCTAGATGTCATTCTTGAAATTAATGCCAGCCTTAAAATTATACATTAAAGAAAGAATACGAATAAGATTTTAATTTTGACCACCCAAGATCACTGTGCGGCGGAATGGATTTTGTTCCCCTTACTTTTGAGCCTCGTCCAGTTTACTGCAGATGTATTGGAGTATCGGTAGAGCCTCATTGAAACAGGAGACCCCCCTTTCCCAAACATTTTTATTCTTCTTGGCGTTCTCGTCCATTTCTTGGCATTCCTCGTCTGCGTTCAAACAAACATCGTTCCAATTTAATTGCTATTTTGCGTGGAAGCCCGATGACAAGTTGTCCCGAAGGAAGAGCGACGATCACGGAATTTGCAAACCGCATTCCAACCGTCACGCGAACAAGAAGCCTATCGATCAAACTTTTGTCGGGCTCCGCGATCGAGCCACCGATTAGACATCCGCACACGATTCGTGCCAGCGAAACGTCACTTTGTCGAATTCGAATTAAAAATATCTGATCATCCCGTAAGCTCGTGCCGTTCGACATAATCAGATTGGTGATAAAATTTGTAACTTAATCGAGAAAACTCCAAAGTCGATTTCAGGGAATTTACGAAATTTTTAACATGCCAACATCAACGATTTCTCAGATTGATAAGAATACAATTTGTAACTTAACAAAATTTGTCGATTTCAGGGAATTTCCGTAACATCAACAATTTCTCAGATCGACGAGGACAAGATTTTGATTAGATACATCTATCCAGAAACCACGAACGTTAACTACTACCACGAGAGCCTCGAATCTTGAAATGATTGTTTCAATTACCTAAGAAGAGACAGAAGGATCGCAGCGTTTGACTGGTCGCAGCCTGGGCAGCGGTTCTCACCGCTTGATTCCCATTTTCGAAAGCTTCGCAGCAGGTAGTGAGGATGGCGATTATCAAGCGGCCGTTCATCGTCCAATACGAGGAACAGGCGACTTGTAACAGAACCTGAGAAGAATTATTGTAACGTTAGTGTCGTCTTTGGCGACAATTACGAGTTTCGACTCACTTTCAGCATATCCGTCTGCGTATCGTCCGACTGTGACAACATCGAACCCATCGCGTGCAACATTTGCGCGGGCAGCCAGAGGGAATCGTCTTCTGGCTCGTAGGGCGATTGAAATCTGTCGTCCCTCAACATCCTCTGAATACAAAACGTTATGTTAGGATTGGTTAAGGGATGTTCGGGAAAATTGAGGCTGGGATATCTCGGTAATCATGGTACAACTGACAGGTGTATTCTATCTAGAAAAATAGGTCTATAAAGAAGAATAGTATTTTTTCGCTTTCGAGAATATTAATTATGAAAATTCGAACGAAGAGTATGATTTCAGAGCAAGTATACAGGGATAGAGAAAAATGTCGTGGGGTAAAATCAAATGATTTAAAATGGAGCATGTTTTTATATTAATTTTATGCATTTGTTTGCATTATTTCAATTAAAAAATTTAACTACATTGTACGTATTTAAATGGCAGTAATTTTTAAATTAGTAGTTTCGAAGCATGAGTTCTTCAACAATTTCCTGTAGAGACGAAAATCTTCACATATATTTCAATACTAGTTTTATAAAAATACTTCTCGTACCGTGCACGATATAAATTATTATCATTTCTATGGACAAGTTGCGACTACGATGTACCTATTTTCTTCAAGGTTCAAGCGTGGAAGATCAATGATTTCCTACACTATTTTTCACGTAGCAAGAACTTCCCTCAATGTCACTTCCAAATGTCACGAGATCTTAAATTTGCATGAATATTCTCTCCGTCATCGCGATAAAAGAAAATTGTACAACGATATTCAAGGCAAAAGACACGATTGATAGAGAAGAATTTCGAGTGTCACAGCTGTTCGTCGATATCTGTCGCGTTATCGCCAAGTTCCTTTAGACGGGCGGATGTGTCCTGTACGCGTACGCGATACGAACGGGGAATAGGATTAAAAGAACGTGTTCCATTACGAACGTGTAATCCGGAGAGGCCGAACGCGACGAATTTGCTTCTCTTCGTTTCCAGTGCTAGCTGAAATGTGTGTAGACATTTTGCCCGCAGCTCGTGGGGTGGATCGCGTAGCAACCCTTGCTGCTTGTCCAGGAAGTCTGGAAAGTACCGAATTTTTCATCTGAGAACACCGAATTAATTCGAAGATTACACGCGCGACCGAACGCAAACGGGGGAATAAACCGGTGTGAATTTCACTTTGTATCGTAGTAAATTATTAAACGAGTTGTGGCCGCCAAGTTGGAATCGATGGAAAACGTGACAATACTTATTGGCAACGACACCGCGAATAATATTCGGTTTCGAATTATTTTACGCGATCGACTCACCATACGCTTCCTGTGCTGATTTTCGTAGATTTTGTAACTTCGCATTGCTCGATTCCCGGACGATCTGCAGCAGGAGATCCTCCATGTCACGGTGGACTAACACGGGACTGATCGATAGCGGGAGTGCCAATGCACGCTTTGCTATACGTGCGCATTCAGGGCCGTAGAAACAGCCTTCTGTCGGCGAAAATTCATTTCCGGCCTCGAGAATAAAACGCTCCTCGAAATCTCGTCTGCGTAGTCTGCAAGGGTACATACAGAGCGGGCAAATTTATAATAAATTAATAAACTAACTTTTACCCTTGACTTCGTTTGCTTGAACGTCAGTCTAACGAATCTGTTAATGAATTTTAAATTACGGGTAAATTACAATTTTTATTCGTTACTCTCAAATAAAATTTTCCCAACTCTGGATCCATATCGTACACAGAAAAGGAAACCTTTCGTCGTGTAAATTTCAGTTTGTGGTCCACGCACAATTCAACTATGTCTACTTATTCTCTGAGGCTCGTGTGTGTATTCCTTATTGTGGTAATGAAAGCTCAATTTACAGTAATAAAAAGGAGATGTTTCTGTTTAGAATTTTAAAAAACTCGATTCTTTTTTTATATCTTCTTCTGAAAATATTTCGATGTGCACGGCAATTGTGTCATGCGCCAATCGGTGGAAGTTCTCGACTCGGGATCCCTATCTTTGTTAGCAGTCCTGAGTCGAGGCGGGATGCTGGGAAAAACGGGAACCTCTTTTCGGAAACGCGGAACCTCTTCCTGTACGATTCGATTTAAGTACCTTGTTTCATTTTCTTTGACGAAATAACTGCTTGACAAGACTAAACAAGGAGATCGAAGGAACTTAAATTCCTTCTACATTTTTAATTTGATCGTTTCTATTCTAAGTATAAAATGTACAGTTTTACTGTTCTCCTTCTTACCTAAGCATATTTGTTTTATTTACTCTTTAATCGTGTACTTACTTACGTATACTTACATGTTTTTACTCGTGCATAATGCACATTGTCCTCTTACTTTGTTCAGGTAGGGATTTTTGCTAATTTTGGGCCCAAAGTTTCACGTAAATTAATGTGTTTCATACTGAACGAATATTCAATAATGTGCATACTTGTTTTATTGTTTTTATTCAGATATCAAGGTTACAATTCACAATCTCCGTGTGATATTTTTAATGAAAAGAAACGAAGAACGACTTTTGGATGAGCGATAGACATTTTAAAATGACGCGGAAAGTGGCGCGCAAAGCAGTCTGCGCGGCGCATTATGGAAGCTACAGTTGTTTTCCCAAAATGGCGACGGAAAGTGACAGGAAGCGTAGAGTAGGAACCAAAGCTCATCGTGGAAGCATCGATTTGTATCAATTGGCAGTGAATTTAATTGGTAAGAGTTTCTCCGCATTCAAAGACGACAGAATTTATGATTTTTTCACCAACATACCATAAAATTCTCTCATTTTTTTGCGTCAGGTTGGAGTTTCGGATTTTTTCATCGGTGGCATGTCTCCACGCTCTTCGAAAATGATCGGCATTTCTCGCATCTGTCTGAAATCGAGAGGGAAATGTCTTTTCGTACGGAAATGGTACGAGTACCCATCACATTTGGGCTTTAAATACAGTATACTTTCCCCATATCATTTATTTAAAAAATGCATACGTTCAACAAAACAGAATTCGACGTCTTCATTTTACTTTGAATTTTTTAATATAAATCGATTTATAAAGTTATTTATCCAATTGCTCATTCCGAGGAATCAATTTCAAAATATTTAACTTAAAATTTCACATGATTCGTATTCGTGAAGTTTAGGTTAGTTTTTGAAGAAGTCTAACAATTCAAAGGGGAAAAGTAAACTGTATTTGCCCCGAAGGTTTGATGCATCGATGGAATTCTCGTAAGGACAGCACGTATGACTTCTTTTGTTTTTACTTCAGGGAATGTATTACTCGTACTATAAGATAATCGCAGAGTCAAAAACATTCATGGAGGGTTTAAACAAAATCAGCAACGATAACATTTCAGAGTATGGAAATATTATTGATGCTACCCAAAAGTACAGGTTACTGCCAGAGGTATTTTATTCCAGCTCGTGGGTTTTTATCAGGTAGCTTACAAGAGTCTGGAAGAATAACAATTAATTATTTACAGTTGGTAGCTGGGTGGCTTTACCATTATGCTAAAAGTCTAGGAATCATATCAATAGACCAGTGTTGGCAAGTGAGACTTATTTCTATTAAATTTGCACACATTAAGGCATTTAACCCTTCAACATATCAAATTTAAAGTTTACTAATCGGCGTAGCTGCTAGACTTCTGAAAACAGGGTAGAGTGAGCATGTAGAGCATTTACTTTTTAAGAAAAGGGGTCTTGAATTCAAATACCCATCAGATTTCTACTAATGGTATAAAAAAACATCTTTTAAAATTTTAATTTGAAATTATTTTCAAAGTTTAATCATTTTTCTTCGATAACATATTAAAAATAACTTTTTGAATATATTCTTTGCAAGTATTCTATAGAATGTTACCAAAAAAATCTATGATGGCACAACTGTTAGTTACTCTTGTAAGGCTATAAAATTTCATTAACGAATATTATAATAAAACAGCAGCTAATCGTAAATTATACTTTAGAACAATGTAGAAACTGATATATATGACTTGTGCAAGTTATACATACAAATGCATTGTGTGAGGGGTTAATTGCTGAAGGTTTGAGATTTAAAGAATTGACACCTTTAGGTATAGAAACCTAATATAAAATGATGGAAAGTAATTCCAGTCGAAGTATGTGTTGAGACTGAAAGACTATGTGGTCGAATATTTGAAATTTGAAAATCTGGATGTTCAAAAACTTACGAAACTTTGTGTACAATTAGAATAGATCGTCCATAACACAAACCTATTTTCCTCCCTGTCATAATTTACTTTTAGGAGGTGAAATAATTTCTTAACATTTTGATTGTCATGGTGGTCACTGGTGAGTATTTTAAACGCGTTGTAAAATGATAAGTAACGCTACTGTAATTAGGGATGTTGTAAAATAACAGATACACCATTGAATAATCGTATATTATTATAATTTTAAATAAATATCGAGGATAAAAAATTGGCGTAGCAGACAATGTGTTAATGAAAATGTAGAATTATCTTTCATGTCGAATATCTCGAGAACAGTAAGAGATATTGAGAAAAAGTTTACAATGAGGTTGTATGTTTCTTTAATGGTTACAAGATCGGATAAAAAAATTTTTAATAAGAGTAACATTGACTTCCTACCTCTGATCTCGCTGGAATTTCTCTCGATCGTCCTACAGTATAATTATCTGAGTCTTAGAGTCTGTTTATTAATGGGTTGAGTAATTACTATTGATTGACGCTTGAATATATGTACATACAACGCTATCTTAGAACGTTTACCATTAATAAATTCTAAAATTTGTAAGTAAATATTATGAATTGATAAGTACTTAAGTAGTGTAAAATAAAATGTTACATCAGTTCCATGCCGACAACAACTTTAGGAATTAAATGAAAAATTAATGAGAAAACGACCAAAATTGGCAACAAAACGAAATAAGGGAGTCTTAAAATAATAAGTGTTCCCCCCTTAAAAATATTGTATACCTTATAACATATCAATAGAGAGATCTGCTATAAAAACGATGGAAACTTTTGCATAATAATTTTAACGAAATTTACTCAACCTGTTGATCGACTCTCTGTGATTGAAAGAAATAATCTAGATGGCCTCTCCTGTAGGATAACTAGAGAGAAATTTTTTTCAGATAGAAAGAGGAGATGGTATGCCACCGGTGATAAGTTGCGAAGGCCTAGGTGTTCCTATTTATTTTTATTTAGAGATCGTGTGGTTATCTACTATATTCACGGTAGCCATACTGTTTTACTACTCCGTGTACCTGAGTAACAGTGTAAGCAGCGGTATCGTCACGGTGCTACTGTTCTTTTACAATCACAATGAGTGCACGCGTGTCCAGTGGACACCGCCGTTGCGCGAGACTTTTGCATACCCTTTCATACTGTGCCAGATGTACATACTGACTATAATTCTTCGAGAGGGTACGCAACAAAACTTGAACAAAGTATCGAAGGAATTGTGCCTGGTACGTGGAGGCGTTCGATCAATTGGAAAAATTTTTCCAATGCAATAACGCTAGGCTGTATCTTTTTTCAGACGATGGGTATATCGACGGCGATCAGTTTGCGTTGTTGGCAATTTTCCCATTTTATTTTTGCCACGCAAATCATCGCGTTACTAATACTCAAATGGATGAGAATAATCTCGAACGATCTCTTTAAATGCATTTGCGGAATTCACGTTTGGCCCATGATAATATTAATCGTCGTGATGGACGATACGTCTTTACTTTCCTCTTTGTACTTCTGCCTTCTGTTAACCAGTACGGTTTCAAGCCTTTTGCACAAACAATCGTCGCGTATGGGTGCAAAACTGCAAACGAGTCTCGAAATTGTTTTCGTGATCGTATGCACAAAATTATTAAAGTCTTGCAAGTTCATGTCCGAACACGACGAGCATGTCTTCAACATACTGAAAGCAAAATTGACCGATTACAAGGACTTTCACACTATGCTGTACACGTGTTCGGCCGAGTTCGATTTCTTGCAATACAGAAGCTACGAGGCGATCATAAAGACTTTGCTTTTGTCGTCCGCGATACTCGCCGGCATGTTGGCGCTTTATTTTTGGTACAGAAATTACATAGTTAAAGGCTACCCTAAGTGCATAGAAGCAGATCTAGCCTACAATGGCCTACAGACTGGTGCTTTCATTATTATGGCGGTTTTCATTATGAGGCTAAAACTGTTCATGAATCCCCATCTCTGTATAATAGCTGGCACAGTTTGCTCGAACAGGTACTTAGAGAAACTTGGCTTGAAGAATAACATGAAGAAGACAGCTGTTATACTTTTACTGATATCCGCCATGTCCTATCACGGTTTAGAGAATCTCAGGGAAGAACGTAGTATCATAGGTAATGATACCGTTCTCGCAAAGCTTTAACACTTTGACTGTCACGTACATCACGAACTTTTCGCTTTGAAACTAAAAAAATGAATTCTTGAGTCGAGACGTTAACCTTTTGCAGTCCAAGAATTTTTATTAACACGAACAACTAGTGATATCAATGCAATTTTGTGGTGCAACTTTTAAAAATCAAGTGATAATATAATATAAAGAAAATAAATGCTAAGGAAAATTTTAGATTATCTAGTTTACAATTGTGTTGGCAGTCAACGTGTTAAAACGTCCGGAATACACGTACTGTCGTCGTCCTTAAGCCTACTTGCGTTGTGCTATAGGCGAGTACAGCAATATCGAACAGGAGGAGCTGTTCTATTGGATAAAGAACAACACTCCTGAACACGCGGTGTTCGCCGGAAAGATGTCTTTGATGGCGAATTTAATGCTCTCCGCAGGAAGACCCGTTGTTAACAATCCTTACTACGAGAGCAGAGAAATGAGGTACACTGATCGTTTCAGTGATCCCGGTATCTCCATTTTCATCGTTTCGATATGTATGGTCGGTTGCCCTATGTTTCAGAGATCGAACGATGAAAGTGTACGAGATCTTCAGTAGAAAAGATGTCGCGTCCGTGTACTTCACTCTGAAGAACATGAGCGTCGATTACGTTGTGCTGGAAGAGCCGCTATGTTTTGGCTTCGCGAACGTGTAATTGAACAGTTTTAGTAGTAGACACGATTGAATAAGAAGCTTCACGACTCGTGCTTGCACTAAAGGATTCTTCTATTTTAGACCGATCGGGTGTCAGATGGTCGATCTGTGGGACGTTGTGGACAATGGGACCGCGAAGGCCGCAGGGAAACCACCCCTCTGCCCAGTACTTTTTCAAGGGAACGCCTACCCTTTTAAAAGAGCTTTCGTGAACAATCGATACGTCGTTCTGCAGCTCAACTATTCTTATCACGTTGAAATGAAACCAAAGATCCCCGCGAATAACGTTTATTCGCGCGCATTGTGAAATATTCTTAACGTATGATGTATGTTTCTCTATATTTCAGAGACTTGTAATATACAATATATTATTTTGGTCACGCATGTATTCCCAAAATAATTTTGTGTAAAATTATAGGTTTTGTAAGTAAAAAGTTGAAGCAACGTTTATTTTTAAGGAATATTTATTAGTTTATTTTATTATAATGTACAACGGTTTTCGAATAAACTATGATATAATAAGACAAAATATATATTTCGAAGATGTGACACGAAATAATAGTCACAAAATCTTAGAAATTAATTTTTAAGAAAAATTGACAGGGGGTTTGGCGCAGAAATTTTTCGGCGAAATTAAAAGATTTCAAATCATTCTAAGAAAATTAATTTTGGTTGTAGGGGTCAATTACAATCATTTTTGGTCGATAGACATACCCTTGAAATCCTAACCATTTTCGAGAAAAAAATTCCTTACCGAAAATATAATTTCAGGCCAGAAATGTCACTCCAAAATTTCATGTGTATCTTTAAAACGTCATAACTTCTGAACGGATTGAAGGATTTTAATGTTTCGAAAGGCAAATGATGCGTATTTTTGTAGAGAATATATTGAAATCGTAAAAATATTCGAAAAGTTGATCCTTGGCCCCGCGAAATAAGAAAAACCCCATAAAAATGGTCAAATTTTCAAACAGCCATAACTCTTACAATAATAAATATATTTCAATGAAACTTTTTTCTGAAATAGAGCTCATGATTTTTTGTGAATACACATACCCTTGAAATCCTACGCACTTTTGAGAAAAAAATTCTTTCCCGAAAATATGAGTGGCTAGATACTATTAAGCATTTTTTTATAATCTTAAAGAGCACCAAGAAATTCATCAAAGTAGTACTAGTTCAAGAATGATAGTTGACTGAAACTGTGATGAAGTCTAGTTTAATAATTTTATATTTCCAATGAAATTAGTCGATTGATGTGCAATTCTGGTCTGTATAGCTCTCATTCCGTTAAAAAGCAACAAAATTTCTGTAATTTCATTTTCTGTCTCACTTCCCCTTGTGTTCAGTTTCTGTAACCTGTTGGTAATGTTGTGAGTGACACGGAAATGGTAATGGGGCTCTAGAGTCCCAGAAAAATAAAAAAATACATTGGATGTAAGGTCTACTCATATACCTCGTCTGTGGTAAAAGTATCTTGATTTTAGAATCATATGACCGTACAATGCGTAAATAATCTTTGATCAAAACTTTTGTTGATATAGCATTAAAAGCAAAATCACAGACAAGGTATATGAGTATACCTTTCAACCAATGTATTTTTCCGGCCCATTTTTATGGGGCTTTAGAGCCCCATTACCATTTTCGTGTCACTCGCAACCTTACCATCGAGTTTAGAAATGAACGCTAGAGGAAGTGGGACAGAAAATTAAATTACAGAAATTTTATTATTTTTTAACAGGATTTTTAAGGTCTAAAATCAAGTATCAGTCGATTAATTTAAATGTTTCAATTTCGCCGAAAAATTTCACCACCTACCCCCTACAATTACAATACAAACAACAAACAACTATCTTTGTAACAGTATTTCCGTCTATGAACTAACTGTGGCGGCCAAGGCACCACATACGCCTTAGCCGTTCGAAGCCGCTACAATGTATGGTTGCACACGAGACGATGGTTGCACACGAGACGATGGTTGCACACGAGACGACCAGAGCCGCGTGAGCCGAAAAGCCGTTGTCGTCGTCTCTGACCGTCTTTTGTTTTTGAAGGCCTCTTGGTACGGTGGCGATGATCGTACCAGAGAGTCGAGCGTAACCCGCACCACGAGTCACGTCGTTGTACGACAGCAACAATAAAATTGTGCGGAACGGAACAGAGCGGAGACATTATCTTCCCGATCCCACATTGGTGACCCCGACGTGATCTCGCCGCGCAAGTAAAGTTTTTTTTAAGAAAATTTGGACATTTTTTGTATACGGACAATATTAGTTAGTGTAGAGAAATAAGTGTATAGTGTTAAGGACATAAGAAAAGGACACGGTCTGACAAATAGTAAGCGCGGTGTGTGTGTGCGGTGAAACTATTTTTTTTTTGTGACCAAGACTGGTAAAATGACTGACCCTAACGTTAACGCAGGGACATCCGTGGGTGTGCCGTTGGCAGTTGATCGCGTCGCTGTACGGATACCCGAGTTTTGTCCGGGAGACCCGGAGATGTGGTTTTCAATGGTAGAGAGAAGTTTTGAGGTATCCAATGTAACGTCGGAGACCACGAAATTCGGGTACATTCTCGGCGCGTTAGGTGCGCGACACGCCGCGGAAGTAAGAGACATTATCATGAATCCCCCGGCCGCGGATCCGTACACGACGCTAAAAAATGAGTTCATTCGCCGGCTTAGTGCGTCGCAGGAACAGAAAACGCGGCGGTTATTGGAACACGAGGAAATCGGGGACAGAAAACCGTCCCAATTTCTTCGTCACCTGCGCGGATTGGCCGGTACGGCTTTTTCGGACGGTGTATTGCGGACGCTTTGGATGGGCCGGCTACCTGCTAATATGCAGGTGATTTTATCCACGCAGCGGGACACCCCGCTGGATAAGGTAGCAGAGTTGGCAGACGCTGTCGCGGATACGATGACACCGCGGGTACACGTCACGGAGGCCGCGACTACGGGCGTATCTGCATCCTGCCAAATACCCCCGCCGGGCCCGAGCATCGAGGCCATGTTAAACATTAAGATGTCGCAATTGGCTCTTTCCTTGAGGCAGGAAATTTCTGCCATCCGTGAATCCTTGGTGGACCAGGGGCAATCTTCCCGTCGCAGGTGGACCCACCGAAATCATCCAAACTCGCGCTACCGCAGACGATCTCTATCGCGATCGCGAGAGCGGCCCGCGGGAGGACAAATGGACCATCAAGGGAAATGCTGGTACCATTGGCGGTTCGGTCCGGCCGCGCAGAGGTGCGTTGCACCGTGCAATTGGAACGCCACGGATCAGGGAAACGACCTGGGGAGTCGTTGATGGCGGCCAGCGACACAAATCCAGCATCACGCCGCCTCTTCATCTTAGACAACAGCTCGAAGACGGAATTTTTAGTGGATACCGGGGCCGATTTGTGCGTTTTTCCGCGCCGCCTGCTAGGCGGATTGCGAGAAAGATCGGAGTACCAGCTGGCGGCGGCGAATGGGAGTGTAATTAACACCTACGGGACAGTGTCGTTAAACCTGCACCTCGGCCTACGACGGGATTTCGTGTGGCGATTCGTGGTTGCGGATGTTACAAAACCCATAATCGGGGTAGACTTTCTCGATCACTTCGATCTTATGGTGGACATCCGCAATCGTCGCCTCGTCGATCGGACCACGTCGTTAACGGTCCGCGGAACACGAGCCGAGGATGAAACGCCGTCGGTGAAGACAGTAGCAGGGACTACCGTTTACCACCAGCTCCTGATGCAGATGCCGGAACTTACACGGCCTAGCGGCACCCCGATGAGGACTACGCACCAAACGGTGCATTACATCGAGACAACCCCTGGACCACCCGTTTCCAGCAAGCCGCGGCGGCTTGCACCGGACCGGCTCAGGGCTGCCCAGAAGGAGTTCGACGCGATGGTGAAGATGGGCATCGCTTGTCCTTCGAAGAGCGCGTGGTCAGCACCCCTTCATATGGTTCCGAAGAAGGGCGAAGAAGCTTGGAGGCCTTGCGGTGACTATAGAGCGTTAAACGCACGGACAATTCCCGACCGATACCCCGTGCGTCACATTGAGGATTTTGCGCAACAACTGAGTGGCAAAAAGGTATTTTCCACAATAGATCTCGTCCGAGCTTATAATCAGATTCCGGTTGCGTCGGAAGACGTCGGAAAAACGGCCATTACAACGCCGTTTGGGCTTTTTGAATTCCCGTACATGTCGTTCGGGTTACGAAATGCCGCGCAAACATTTCAGCGCTTTATCGACGAAATTTTACGCGGTTTCGATTTTTGTTACGCGTATATAGACGACATTTTGGTCGCCTCAGAATCCCAAGCCGATCACCTGCGCCATTTAGAATTATTATTTAAACGATTAAAAGATTATGGCATTGTTGTTAATCCGAATAAATGCACGTTCGGACAGGAAGAAGTTAAATTTCTAGGCTATCGGGTAAATGAAAGCGGCACTCAACCTTTGCCCGGCAAGGTACAAGCCATAAAGTCATTTCCCCTTCCGAAAAACGCGAAGGATTTGAGGCAGTACTTGGGAATGCTTAATTTTTACCGCCGTTTTATCCCAGATGCCGCTCGCTTTCAAGCACCCTTGAACGACCTTTTAGCCGGCAATTTAAAGGGCAAGACCCCGATAGCCTGGACTTCGGAAGCGCGTCAGGCTTTCGAAAATACCAAAAATAGTTTAGCAAACGCAACCCTGCTTTCTCATCCTGCGGTCAACGCTCCATTTTCGGTTACCTGCGATGCTTCTGATTACACCGTAGGAGCTGTTTTACATCAGTGCGTCGGCAACGAACGACAACCATTAGCATTCTTTTCTAAGAAATTAGGATCTGCCGAAAAGAAGTATTCAGCTTACGACCGGGAACTACTTTCTATCTATTTAGCAATAAAACATTTCAAACATATGCTCGAAGGCAGACATTTCACGATTTTTACAGACCATAAACCCATAACTTTCGCTTTCAAACAGAAATTAGATAAATGCTCTCCTCGACAATTCCGATACCTAGATTACATTGCGCAATTCTCTACAGATATTCAACATATTTCCGGTAAAGACAACGTCGTTGCCGATGCACTGTCCAGAGTGGAAACGGTTAACCACTCGATTAATTTCGAAGAATTGGCAAAATCGCAAGCCCAGGATGAGGAGTTGCAGCGGTTGTTGAATAGCGAATCTAGCCTGCAATTACGCAAAGTCTCGTTGCCTGGCACGTCTTCCGAAATTTTTTGCGATATTTCGACTAAGAATGTAAGACCTTATGTCACCCCTCCTTTCCGACGCGCAGTTTTTAATATGTTACA